CATGCTGACTCCCGGGGCTTGGCCCCCCCGGGTCAGCCCCCCCTCCCCCAGCTCCGCGGCCCGCCGACTGGGGGGGCCCAGCCCAGCCCCCTGGGGACCCCCGGAGAGGTGGGGGGCTGCCGGGGGGGCCGGGACGGAGCGGTCGCCGGCCCCCACCGGAGAGACAGGGCGACCGGCCGCAGGGGGGGCGGCCGGGGGGCCGGACGGGCCGGGACCAAGGGCACCATGTCGTCCGGTGCCAAGGAGGGGGGCGGGGGCTCTCCCGCCTACCACCTCCCCCACCCACACCCACACCCACCCCAGCACGCCCAATATGTGGGCCCCTATCGGCTGGAGAAGACGCTGGGCAAAGGACAGACAGGTGAGCCTAGCGGGAAGGGATACCTGGGGCGGGAGCAGGGTGGAGGTGAGGGGCAGAGGGCGGGGCTCATGGGTATTGAAAGAGCAGGGGCCGGCCACTCGGATCCTGAGTCCCTCGTAGTGAAGGGACTTGGGGTCCAGAGTCCTGGGTCCCCAGGATGGAGGGGGGTAGAAGCTCGGACTCTGGGGTCCTCTAGGAAAGTGGGCTGAGAGCCTGAATCCTGGGTCTGAGGGAGGAGGAGCGGCAGACCTGGACTCCTGGGTCTCGGAAAGGGGGGCTGGGGTCTGGACTCCTGGGTCTGAGGGCGGAGGGGCTGCAGACCTGGACTTCTGAGTTGGGGAGTGGAGAGTTTGTGGTACAAATGCTCCAACCCCATTGGGGCAGAGGTTGGAGGGGCTCCAGGGCCGCGGGTGGGAAAGGAGCCTGCAGATCTGGACGAGCTGGGACTGAGAGCTGAGGCCCTTGCTGCAGTACAGCTGCAGGCCGGGATGGAGGTGCATCTGTCCTGGTTAGCCTGTTTTCTCCCCACTGTCCTCTGGCCTAGGAGGGCTGCCGCCTCTCCAGGCAGCAAGTTGGGGTGACAGGGGCAGTGAGGCAGGGGGGACAATTCTCCCCCTTCTCTGGCATGCTGGTTCAGGGTGGGAAACAGGATGGAGAGGTGGAAAGGTGGGCTGTAGGAGAAACATCTCCCAGAAGTGGCTGTGGAAAGTGGGGTCATCCTTTGCTATTGCTAA